CTAGAAGGAACTTTATGGTAGCCTAAAGTTTATTATTCAATCTATATAGGTTGTTCGCTTCTATGTGAGTGGTCTTAGATTGGATACAAAATCAGAATGAACAGTAGTGTAATAATTGGTATTGGGAAACAGTTTGTTATATTATCGTATTCAATTGTAGAGTTCTTGTGGAGAGTAACACTGACGATTATTATATCGCTAGACTACAAACCAGCTCCATATCAACTTGCTAGACTCGTCCAATGTTAAATTGGTATAGGGAAACAGTTTGTTATATTATCGTATTCAATTGTAGAGTTCTTGTGGAGAGTAACACTGACGATTATTATATCGCTAGACTACAAACCAGCTCCATATCAACTTGCTAGGCTCGTCCAATGTTAAATTGGTATAGGGAAACAGTTTGTTATATTATCGTATTCAGCTGTATAGTTCTTGTGGAGAGTAACACTGACGATTATTATTTCGCTAGACTACAAACCAGCTCCATATCAATTTGCTAGGCTCGTCCAATGTTAAATTACTTCACCGAAGCACTGTATCCGCTGTCCCCGGGCTGCAGGGGGAGGGGTCGAGCCCAGGTGTGCCAGAGAGTTCAAGAATTCCAAGCTGTTTCAGGGCTTGGGAACCTTGCCCTGTTCGCCCGTAGACTGTCCAATCCGTGCAGGTGCGGGGCCCGCGGATCGCAGGCTTAAGAGCTCATGACAGCATCAATACTGTCACGGAGTGTACTAAAGCTGCCTACCCCAAGGGCTTATTGTCACCTTGGTAGTCTGAGCCCGACAGGAGGGGCCTTCTTCTTCAGCTCACCCACCGTCAAAGACCTTCATACATATACATCAAACCAATCAAGCACGTACTGCCCCGCATGTTGCTGACAGTGAGTTAGACGAGCATCACTCTCTGGGTCTCTACAACGTTTCAATATCCTGTTGAAATGTTAAAGCATGGTGTTGCAATCCTTTTTTTTTGTACCACTTTAGTTATCCAGCGCAACATGTTGAAATATTTCTATTGTTTATAAAATTTCACGACACTTAAAAAAAAAGTAGAAATGATAATACTGTATAAAGTGGTAACTAGCTAGTAGTAGAGGGTACGTCAAAGGTAAGGAACCACTAGTGACATAACGTCTTTATCCTGCTTCAAGGTCTACGAAAGTATGGTAGTCACTATGTCAGGCAATGTTGGTTAACACACATATGTTCGTATCTTGCACCTTGTTGCAGAATTAATAAAATATAAAAGAAAACTGATTTGTTACTTTTGACATTCCCTGTACTCTGAGAAACATGACTTTAAAAAAGTATGGTAAATATCAGAGTAATTTCGATATATATATATATACATTTTGTAGAAACTCTTTGTAAAATCACTTTTAATTACCCAAGAACTAACATATAAATTTAAAACATTTAATCATCCTCTAGTTTAAAATAAATCAAGCTTAAACTTCTGAATCTGTAAATAAACTGTCTAGTAGAACATAGGTCTTGCTTATAACAGTAACCCTAACTTCTTAAGAACGCATATCGAAAACTGGTTCCTAATAATTTATTATTCTAATATGACTAATATTTTCATTTATGTGTTTTATAGCAAAGAATCATCATTAATGCAAAATGTGCGAATAAGATGGTCGACTTCATTTGGCGGCTTTGAAGGAGTAAAAATAATACAAGTTGCTCTTAGTTTGTTAAACTTTTGTATGTCAGAGTATTTCACAACCACGTAATTTCAATCTGTATCTGAACCAAACATCACAATGCTGATTTCAAAAGTTGAGAAAGATTTATTGACTTTGCACACGTAATAATTGAAAAGAAATTATATTACGATAAGCTGCTACCTAGACTTATGATTGGAATACGTGGGGCTTAGTAACGAATAAAGCAAAACTTCGACTTTTGGTTTACTTTTAGGGTTTACTCAAATTTGGCTTGTTTTAAATAATTAGAAAACAAACTTAAGAAAAATAACTAACATTGGAATTTTTGTCTCGATGAATGATGAGGGCGTGAACTAATAAACTAGAATGTCGGCTAAAATGCATGTAATTATGATGCAGAACCAACCCCAACAGTTAATTCAGTAATAGATAAGACGTTTTGGATATTCTAACACTCAGATGAGAATATCTGTTCGTATTACAAACGTGCAAATTAAGTGATCAGTAAATGAAAACAATGTAGTTTAGAAAGTGGCATGTAGATTGAGTTTAAGCAACAAGTTTGAATTAGTTTTTAACAAATATATAAAGTTAGTATTATACACTGTAAATACAAAAAATAAAATAAAAATTCGCAAGAAAAAAAAAAGCGGGTATATTCATATAATTTAACGTCTTTTCCGAATCCTACAGCTTATCCAAGCAGTCGTTGCGTAACTACTTATACTCTCTCAATATCAGGCGTTACAAAGAAGGGAGTTAGAGATTGGTTTTATAATCCACGGCGTGTTTCATTGATCATTCTCGTATTCTAAAGGCTGTCAGATCGTTTCAGCCAAAACTGGGCGGTTTGTGTTATGACTGAAAACGCAATGATTGTGTGACAAACCTCTCATGAAATATCTCTGTATTTTTATAGGGTATTTATATATATATATATATATACAAGTTACGTTATGTAATTCTTTGAAACCGAAAATAAAATCTAAATAGGTGAGATCTTTTGTTTTAATACTTTATCGAAAACTGTTTTATAAATTATATCCTTTGTTTTATACTAAATTATGCTGAGATTTCTTTTAAATTGTATAACTGTTCATTATTTTCTTACGTTTGTAAATAGATTTATTAAAAGAATTAATCGTTTCGTCCAAACTTTTTATCAAATATTAAACTTTCTGGTTACTTAGTATCATATTTCAGTAGAATATGCTAATGTTTATGGTATAACAAAGAGAGACAGATAGATGAACAGGCTGGCGAACAGACATAGATACTTCCAGGTGGATGTATGGATTGAAGGACAGACAGATATGTAAACTAAAGCTAGTTTCCTGAGCATAAAAACATCATATTAACACTAGAAACATGTTTATTCTAAAATGCATAATATCGAAAGACTGTTTATCACGGGTGATTTCTTAGTGACAAATTGAAATAATATTTATTACGTACCTATTTTATAATATCGAAATATTGTTTATCACGTGGGATTTCTTAGTGACGAATTGAAATAATATTTATTACGTACCTATTTTATAATATCGAGAAATATTGTTTATCACGTGGGATTTCTTGGTGACGAATTGAAATAATATTTATTACGTAACTATTTTGAAATGAAAAAAACAAAAACAACAACAACAACATCATCAAGTCTGATGAGAAATTAAATCGCAGTTCCAAAAAGTGTAACTTAGTCGACACAACTTGGGCTACACGTCTAATGAGAAAAATGAAAGTTATATCGTGATGAAAATCGAACACAAGATCTTTTCAATGTCCTTCACTGGATGTCTAATTGTCCGTGGAATGCTATTCAACATTGTCGTGATTGTAAAGTCAAGCATAATGCTGCTGGAATGGTGATACATTCCAAAAAAGTTCAACTTTCTGTGTTCGGTTGTTGAATTTCGCCCAAAGCTACTTGAGAGCTATCTGTACTATTCTTCATTCGACCTTAATCCCATCTATATATGGGGTCGGCCGCTCGGGTATTTTGTATTATATAAGAATTTTTACACTCGGATGGCGAATCGAGCACCATAATCAGCAAGCTAGGCCAGGCCCAGAGAGCTATCTGTACTAGCCGTCCATAATTTAGAAGTGATAGACCAGAGGGAAGACAACTAGTCGACATCACCCACCGCCAACTCTTGGGGTACCCTTTACCAACGAAAAGTGAGATTTACCGTATCATTATAACGTCCACACGGCTGAAAGAGCGAGTATGTTCAGTGAGGGGATTCGAACCTATGATCTGTACATTGCGAGTCGAGCATTCCAACTACCAGGCCATGCCAGGTTTTTGTGATTGAAATTGAAAATTTAGAGAGATTGAGAAAAATAAACTCATTAGCGTGAATTGAATTTTCAATACCTAATTTACAGTCAAATTTTCAGTCTCTTTTCAAAGTTTATCTTCTACACAAGCTTGTTAATACAAGTTTTATTATGCAACTTACAAAGCTAAACATTATGTTGTTGTTTTTTCACTCTCCGGGTTACTATTAAAAGTAAATCTAGATATAATTATTATGCTATAAAAATTAATTGTTCAATTTTTTTACTTAAATCATTGGTGTATAAGTTGTGCGTGTTATGGTGCACGTTTAAGCGGCTTGAATATGAAGTCCGACTCCAATATATGTATTGTTAGAAAAAAGCACTAGATGTCAGCACTAACGTTCTGGTGGGGACTTTTTTTGCATTATCTGGCAAAGGGTCATAACATGTATTTTCTCTCTCTCTCCATCTAGAACATTATAATGTTTTCTATTTGATATATTTGGATTAATTATTACGTGCTTTTAAGCAACAATTCCGTTTCTCAAGTGAGTGTTTGTAATAGAGCAAAGCCACAACGGGCTAACTACTGCACCATTGAGAAATCGGACCCCGGATTTGAGCGTTTTAAATCCGTAAGCTTACCGCTGTTCCACCGAGGGACTTCTCAGATGAGTGCTTTATGCATGTGAAGTGACATAAGTGAAATTTGCACCACAATTGTTTTATCAGCAGACACCTTGTCCACGTTTTTGAAGTAAACAGCTTGTTAAGTGTCTAAAATGATAGTTCCAAACTTTCAGTTAAGTATGGTAATTGTTTTAATAGCAAGTTTGACTAGTCTTTCTTGTTTTATTAAAAACCTCCTTAGTTTGTTTAATAATAATGTTCACAACATTGTTAAAACTCGGACGTCTTCATACAACACACACTTCAGAACTACAACGGCCACATAATTTCTTGTTAAGTTACTTTTAAGTTCAGGTAAACTACTCGCCGCGAGTTCTGGGGTATCTTTAAGCCACGCCTCTGCCTAACGTCACCAGACCCAGTGTACGTCATGCGAGCTTTTCAACAAATGGACAGAAACGAGCTGATGTTGTTCGTCAATTCGTTGATTGGCTGAAATCCATGTGCACCAGGGCCACTGTCAATCAATACAGCGTGGACTTGTGGCTGACTTGGCCATAGATAGAGAAGTGTTTCGTCGTGCTGGACGTTTCAAGTTGAACGGGTTCTCTTTTCGTTCACTGATTGAATCGTGCTCACATTGAAACAACTGCTCTAATAAACATTACCGCGAGTGTTCACCTAAAATAATCCGTCTTCATCCAGTAAATAAGGAAAATTGTAGAAGAGTGTGGTTCTTCCTCCTTTCATCATGAGATCGTTTGTCTGAAACAGCGTCGAGTCTGTCAGATTATCCGGTTGTATATTCGAAGTTATTGCCTGCTTCTGTCCGCTCTGTGAGCCGTCCCTGCCGCCATCGTGGCCACGTTAGATCGGGACTACTCAATTTACCACCCATTTGGGGTGGCGACCTCAGGTGCTGGTACAGGTCATCATCACGGACTTGAGCACGACATTAAAATGACCGGTGGAATTCCCGCGATTCACAGCCACACCACGCTATCCATGGTCACTAGTCCAACGCCGACCTCCTCGCCGCCTTCGCAAGGTCACATTCAGACCAATGGAAGCGTCGGAGTCACTGGGTCTTCAGGTGGAGGTACCAACAAGAAGGACGCGGACCGGGTAAAACGACCGATGAACGCCTTTATGGTGTGGTCGAGGGGTCAGCGACGCAAGATGGCTCAAGAAAACCCCAAGATGCATAATTCTGAAATTAGTAAGCGACTAGGTGCAGAGTGGAAGCTACTGTCGGAAGCCGAGAAACGACCTTTCATCGACGAGGCCAAGCGACTGCGGGCCGTTCACATGAAGGAACACCCCGATTACAAGTACAGGCCCCGAAGAAAGACCAAAACGTTGATGAAGAAGGACAAGTACCCACTAGCTGCGGGGTTGCTTCCAACGGACAGCCGAGCCCCCACTGCCGTATCACAGGTTAGTCGAGATATGTACCAGATGAATGGTTATATGCCTAACGGTTACCCCACCATGATGCACGAAGCTTACCAACAGCATGCGGCAGCAGCAGCTTCATATGGGACTCAGATGGCAGCCAACAATGCTCTTTACTCTCGATATGATATTGCCCAGCTGTCCACACCAATGACCACATGTTCCAACATGAGCATGCCTTATATGAATGGTAATTCCAACTATTCTATGCCCATGTCCTCCTACTCTCCCATGCAAACCGCCAGTCCCATGTCTGCTCCATGCCCAATGAAGTCAGAGTCTAACCTCAGCCCAGGTGCTCAGACCCCTCCTTGCGCCATGACAGCAGCAGCCGTAGCAGCAGTGACCGGTAGACGACCGGGGTGCACATCTGACCTCCGTGACATGATCAGTATGTATCTACCTGGCGATGGCAGCGGTGACCCGAACCTCCAAAGACTTCAGATGCAGAGTCACTATCATCAAGCCGAACCCATAGGACCCGGCACTATGCCCTTAACACACATGTAACTATCGAGTGACTTTTAATAGAGACTTAGCAGTCCGAGATTTTTGTGGAGCCTCTGGTGATGGACACTCACTCACAAAAGACCGACTGAACACAGGACCGATGGCAACGAGACACCAATAGCCAGCGAAAACGCTGAACAGCGTTGATTTCCTTGTTGTCAGTCGTTCCAGCTGCACGTAAGTAAATTTATGCTGAGGTCCAATTTCTTAAGTGAGTTTCAGTAGAGGTAGTTGTATATATATATAGAACTCTGCACTTGGACTATTTTTTTTTCCTTTTTGACCGTGCCTGTTCAAGGCCAGAAAAAAGATGATGCTTTTTCTTCAAGAAAAAAAAAAGACAATAGCAAAAAAACCCGAGTACGTTGGTGTTTAAAATAAAGCAAGCATATGTCTAGATCTAATCGTGTTGTCTGAGTGTGGATAGGAAACAGACATTTACAGAAGAAGTTAATTACACCGACGTCGTAGTTCCTGTTGTAGAGATGTGACAGTCAGTGTTAGGCCTGGGACGAGCACAGTTAAGTCACTGTTCAAAATGCTTGTAACTAATATTAAAATAAATCTTAATTTATAATCTGTTTAAAATAACCATTCAGCTATTGATCACATGATGTCTATAGTTGATCCTGTAGAAGTGGTGTTTATATGTACATATATATAATGTCTGTATATTAAGTTTATTATATTTGCGTTTCGTTATTGTTCTTAAATAAGCTGTTATATTGAAAAAGTATAATTAATGACCTAAATCTTCACAACGTTATCAAAATTCAAAGTGATTGATGAAAAACAATGGAAGGAAGTGGCAAGTATATATAAGTGATTGTTTTAAACTAAAAAAAAACAACAACTAGACAACTTCAGATTGTGTAGTAGAAATTAATACGAGATACTTATTTAAAAGATTTCAAATGAGTGGAAAGCATTAGGTTGAGGTAAATTTGCTGTTTGTCAACTTTTTATAAAGGACTTGATGTAGTTTAGATGAAGGGCGACATACCTTCTTTGATTGATGTTATCTGTTAATTTCCAAGTGTTTTCTTTGTAATTTATGAGGTTTTCACTTTTAATATAAAAATTGTGAATAATTACAAGTCAGAACGACTGTAAAAAAAAAAGTGAGCTTGGATTGGCTTATGTACCAACTTATAACTACGTTTTAAAGCTCCACTTTCGGGCTTTGTAGCTATATTTCTGCTGATTTCATTTAAAACTGTTGATTTCTATCCTTTATAATTTTCTTTTTTGAAATGGTTTTAAATATACAAAGATAACTTTTATTTATGATAATACGGTTCTTTTTGGATAGATTCCTATACGCTCAAGATCGTTCTTAACAACTAATATTTTTGTTATTTGTTCAGAAGTTTGCTTGAACAAAAATAATTGAAAAATAAAATCATTTCGATTAAGCTGACGAGTTTGTCCCTTTCACAAGATCACTTGTTCATAAGCAATAGCTTTTTCCCATTTTCCAATAACGGCTTAAATGAGAAAAACATGCAAATGTAAGCTTTAAATAGAAGTTTACAAATAAATCACATGTGTAGTAATTTCGCTATAGTTTACGGATAAGTTACAATGACAGTTATATGATAATATACGTGATTCACAGCTTTGATTTAACGTTATACAGTTGTGTGAAAATAAACTTAAAGATCCGATTATTAAGGTAATTTTCCCGATATCACTTCCTAAGAATAGCAACTTTGCTGTGGTACATGTAATCAAATCAGAAAACTTTGCTGTGGTACATGTAATCAAATCAGAATTAGGGACGTTCGTTCAGTTTGTTGATGTTGGTATTGTTGTTTTTCTTTCCTATAATTTGAAATTAAAGTGTTCCTAAAATTGTTGTATACTTTAAGTAAAATTTGTATTTTTGGGACTCCGCCAAATAAAAACAAATTCTTTCAACCATGAAAAGAAATCCTATTCAACCAATTATGTTGTATTTTTTAAGTAGTTTAAAAAACAGTCACTGAACAACTCCTGAAGGAATTCGTTAGATTGTTTCTTTAGACAAGAAGTTTTAAAACTTTTGATTTCAGAAGTTTAGTTATTACTGGATCCTGTAATTGTATACTTTAGATTTCCCGTTTAAAAGAAAATAACAGGATAACAGTGAAATTCTAATAATCCGTGAGTGAAAGCAGAGAACAATATGTTATAATATGTCAACCGCACTACATCTGCCGTATCCAGTGCCGACGAGGCCTTTTGTGCAATACCAGGACTCATCGGGTCGGCTGAGATGTGACAGAGATAGTAGTGGTCTAAGCGCTAATGTTGAACTGTGTCTATGTGTTAAGGAAATAATATACTAGCTTTCTTGTGACATCCAGTTTCTCTGTATTAGCATATGATGATCAAGTTGAAATATGGTAATATTACCGAAAGAAAAGCATTGTTATCTGTATATACTGTACTCGTCCTAAGGCCAATAAAAGTCTTGGCACAATCTATTCACGAGTCTTTTTTAATATATTGTATAAAATAAATAGCGACGTGAAAATCAATATATTGACCCTAATACAATTACAAAATATTGAATTTGCTGGCTTTGTGTAGTCCCACTTGAGGTTAATCAAGCATCCGCTCCTTATAAGAGGACTTACTGATCTGACAGAGGATATTTTGGGATGAAACATAACAAACACGTCAATTATGTTATGTTTATAAAAATTTAGATCATGAAATATCAGAATTTAGTGTCATTAGCATTCAAGAAAGTTTCATCCAATTTTTATAAACCTGTTAACTTATTTTTTATGTTATTTTTCCTCGTTAGTTTTAATCGGATATTTTATAGTCGTAAATTTACCTGCGGATTTTATTCCAGCTGTAAAATGTAAAACTTATCAAGTTCCGTGAAGTGGTGTAACGAGTTTTGTATTATTGGTTGACTCGACAAATAATTTGGACAATGTGTTGGAAGTATGTGAAGAATACGGTGCAGTTTCTAAAAAAAAAACATTTATTATATATACGTACCGTGGCAACAGATTCATGTTCGAGTCTTAAAGAATCTGTAGGTCAGAACGTGATTAGATCAGTGAACCGCGCATGGACCTGGCATCTCTAAAGATACTAATATTGTGGTTTACAACGCTTTCTCTCAGAGAGGAAACTGACAGAACAGCTTAGAATGAATCTACACTAAATTAACAGCTACGACTAGACAAGAAAGAATACAAATAGCACAATTAATGGAAGATCTGTAGAGAGTGTAAAGATGCTAATATTGTTGTTTACAACGCTTTCTCTCAGAGAGGAAACTGAAATAACAGTGTAAAATGAATCTACACTAAATTAACAGCTACGACTAGACAAGAAAGAATACAAACAGCACATCAGAGAGTTGTTGCAATAATCATTACTTATACGATTAAAATCTCAGATGTATTTACAGATAATCATTAATTTGACAGTTACTTCTTCCATTGGCAACCTACTTTTTATACACTTAGAAATCAATCATGAAGGAAAGAGCAAACTAATTTAAAATAAAGAGATTTACGAATAACTAGAACATTGAAGTAAAATAATTAATATTTTAGGTTCGAATCTCAGAACTGCACCAAACATTTAGCTGAATTCTAAAGTTATAATACTTGAGAAGTTATTAAACTATACGATTGTTTAACGAATGGATTGTGGTTAATTAGTATAATTGGGGTTATACCTGGAATTACCAAGTGTGTTGTGGAAACTAATTTAATTAAGGTGTTTTTATGGTAGATATATAGTGTTGTAGACACTAAAGTATATATCTGTCAATAATCAGTGAGTAATAGTGTATTTACTGTGTATTTGAGCTGCGGTTGTATGTCATGTTGACGCGGGAGCTATTATCTTCCAGTACTTTTTAAAACAATTTTGATGGATAATGTTTTATTTAATTATTGAGTTTTGAAAGTAAAAAGTAGCTACTTATTAATCACGGAAAACAATGAATCAGAAAATACGTATTTATTAAATACGGTGTATGCCATAGCGAATTCCCCAATAAACATATTATGGATATCAGTTCTGTTGTATTTCCATGCGACCTTTTATAAGGGCTTTAGCGTTATACGTGCGTTAATAACAGTGGTGGAGACTATGAATATTTGAAATGTTAGGTTAATTCATTAATAATACAAGATATTAATCGTGAAGAAGGGTTTGTGTTGCTATACTCGTAGTTTTGTTTTATTTCATTAGAAAGCTCGTTATGGCCACTTTGTGTGTCCCTGATACTGAGATTAGACAGTATACTTGTTATCAGGCTGATACTGAGATTAGATAGTATACTTGTTATCAGGCTGATACTGAGATTAGATAGTATACTTGTTATCAGGCTGATACTGAGATTAGATAGTATACTTGTTATCAGGCTGATACTGAGATTAGATAGTATACTTGTTATCAGGCTGATACTGAGATTAGATAGTATACTTGTTATCAGGCTGATACTGAGATTGCATATTATACTTGTTATCAGGCTGATACTGAGATTAGATATTACACCTGTTAACAGGCTAATACTGAGATTAGAAAGTATACTTGTTATCATGCTAATACTCAGATTAGATATTACATTTTTTATCAGGCTAATACTGAGATTGCATATTATACTTGTTATCAGGCTGATACTGAGATTAGATATTACACTTTTTATCAGGCTAATACTGAGATTGCATATTATACTTGTTATCAGGCTGATACTGAGATTACATATTATACTTGTTATCAGGCTGATACTGAGATTACATATTATACTTGTTATCAGGCTGATACTGAGATTAGATATTGCACTTTTTATCAGGCTGATACTGAGATTACATATTATACTTGTTATCAGGCTGATACTGAGATTAGATATCATACTTGTTATCAGGCTAATACTGAAATTAGATAGTATACTTCTTATCAGGCTGATACTGAGATTATATATCATAGTTGTTATCAGGCTAATACTGAAATTAGATAGTATACTTCTTATCAGGCTAATACTGAGATTAGATAGTATACTTCTTATCAGGTTAATACTGAGATTAGATATTATACTTGTTATCAAGCTGATACTGAGATTAGATATTGTACTTTTTATCAGGATAGTACTGAGATTAGATATTGTACTTTTTATCAGGATAGTACTGAGATTAGATGTTATATTTCTTTGAATTTTAGTGTTTTGATTTCGTTTATACATTGTATATTTTTACCTAGTCGTTTCAATATATATACAGTTGAAATTGTGTGTTGTTTGAAACGTCAAGTGTATTTGTATATGAACATATTTTGTACTGTTATTCTAACAGTACTAAGAACTAAAATGTTTTCTAGCATAAAAACAGCGCCAGTTTCAACTTTTTTATTCACACAATACGTTAAACGTCAGTATTTCCAGTGTAACATTATTTACAGCTTTTACAGTGCTACTGTGTTTATTTTACCATTTTATAACATTTATGCAATGACCTTTAAAACGATTTTTTGCTGCATGTGTATACTAATCTTACTTTCGACTTTTTTTTACAAAAGCTTTATTCTCGACGTTTCGGACATTACCCTAACTCTTCTTTTCATAGAAACGCGAGTGCAAAACGAAGTTTTAAACTAATTCCCTGTAAGTTAAAATTAATAAACTGTCGAAAAGATGCATTTGAAAACAGATACGATTTGTACATTTTATCTCAGTGTATTATTCAACCTTTGTTAAAAAAATATTCATCTAACTTTTTATTTTACACACTTAACAAGTGTTAGAGAAATAGAATTAAGTTTGTTACATAACAACGAAATTCCTTAAGTGATTGCGTGTTACCAAATCTACAAACTGTTTGCTGTCTTGATTTTGAGAAAGTAAATTTGCAACTATCTCTATTCTATGGATCAAAAATGCTTATTTCAAAGTATTAAGTATTTTATAAACATTTTTAGCAAAGCATGATAAAACGTGCATAATAAATAGAGATACGCACACAAAAAAACAAAAGAAAACATTGGATGATACATCCCGTAATTACCTAACCCGTGTACTTACAGATATTAAAAACAAAACACACATTTTTTTTCTGTCATAGTTACGAATAAGGATGCCGAAAGGTAGGTTAGAATGGGAATAGAACTCACACACCTTGACGAGTAAAAATTCGGAATTTAAACGAGTGCCGTTTCGAAAAATTCGGCTTTCAATTGTAAACATCTCCAGTCCGACATCCGATTATTCATTACTGTACCCTTGTAAATAAATGGCATCTGACATACGTAAAAGACTTTACAGATCTAAAACTATGCCAGTTTTGCAACATTCTAAAGCAGTACGACAAAGGAGGGATGTGTCTGTAAGGAGGAAAATGTTGCGATGAAGGAAAGAAATGTCGGAATGTGTATACGGAGGATAACAAACCGTATTCCTGTAGTTAACGTTAGAGCATGGCCGTTAAACAGAAACGAGTGGATATCAATAAAGCAAAAACTTATTGGAATCACTTGCATGCGCATGTGAAGAAAACCAAGACAACAACTATGAAGTAGTTACCAGATTTATTGAATTTAAACAGATTAATCTAACAAACATAATTTTAAAAATTTAAATCTTTTATCATAAGCGAATGGTATGGGCGTTAATATTACTAGCACTAATCCCAATGGACAAGTTGGTGTTATAAAATTGTGTATGTCCTGTCTTGGGTATAATAAGTCCTTTCTTATTTGCTGTATGGAAAATATGCTTGTGTCCAGTCGTTCTATCGGTAGGATATATTAAAGTTTTCCAGAATACTGATACTAGTACGCTTTAACACATGGTATGAGCCTAGTGTATGTTCTTACTGATATCCTGGCATGTCAGTACCGTTTGTCTATGCAGTTCTCCTAACCTTTTTCATCGTCTGTTGAGTGTCTGTTTCAGCTTCTTTTTTTTTTGTCAATAAGCGAATTGTTTATATAGCTTAGCATTCCAAGTCTCACTGTGATTTATATTACCTTTTCAATGGTTTCGATTTTGTTAATAGGTTGTTTATTTTTCATTTTAGTTTCTCAGGGCTCAGTTTGAGTTGAATCCTGGTTATCTTTGCAATTGTCCTGATCCTATTTAGGTGTTGTTCCTCTTAGTTTTCCAACTCTCACGGCGAGTTAAATCTTGGTCATTCCAGGGATTATCCGGTCCTGTCCAGCTACAGTTTACTGTTTATATTAGTTTTCCAAGTCTCATGACGCGTTGAATCCTCGGTCATCCTGGCAGTTATTCTGATCCCGTTTGGATACAGTTTACTTTTCTCTTTAGTTTTCCAAGTTTCATGAAGAGATAGATATTGGTCATTCCTGCAGTTATCCGGTCCTGTTCAGATACAGTTTATTGTCCACCTTAGTTTTCCAAATCTCGTGGAGAATTAAAGCTTCGTCATTCCTGTAATTATCCGGTCCTGTTCAGATACAGTTTAATGTCCACCTTAGTTTTCCAAGTCTCATGGTA